AAATTACTTCAAAACGATCCAGAGACAAGCACTATCTTTTCGCAGCCTCCGCTCATTTCATTCAAACGCGACAAAAACTTAGGCAATTTTTTGGTCAGAAGTTCTTTTCAGACTAATGAGCAACCAGGCACTTTTAAATGCGCTCGTGCACGATGCAAAACGTGTCCTTTCATTCACAACACTGATAAAATATCGGGACCTAAACGATCCATTAAGATCACCGATCACTTCACGTGCACCTCCGCTAATGTAATCTATTGCATAACTTGCACTTATTGCAAAAAGATATACATCGGCGAAACAGGCAGAAGACTAGGTGACCGATTCCGAGAACACCTTCGAGACGTGGAAAGGAATGACAAGGACACATCTAAACCAGTCGCTAGACATTTTAATTTACCTAATCATTCTAAGCAACATATGGCAATCTGCGGTCTTTCCTTGCACTTAGGTGGCACGGAAAGCCGTAAAAATCTTGAACAAAAGCTCATCTTTCAAACCGGCAGTCTAAATCCCACAGGGATCAATGAACGCTTTTCATTCCACTAATTTATTCATGTTTTTCTCGTTGCCATGCACCCACCAATAACGTAGCTCCATTTTCTGCCTTTAAAAGCACACACAACCCACAATTCCTCTATTCGCTCCGACGAAGGGCTAACGCTCGAAACGTCAGCTTTTGTAATCATTACGGTGGCCAATTTACCATTTCAACTTTGTTGATATATCCAAATTATTTCGTTACTCCCACCGACGCAGCCCCAAACAGTTTCTTTCGAAACTATCAGCCTTTACTGTTCTGAATACTTCGTTCAGCTTCTAGTCTCCCTCGCAGCCTTTCGTTGAGATGTTACACAACACTTTCTCCAAATGATGCTTTTCGGGGAGCGCCACTGACATACTCAAGAACGGCTGGAAATAAGACTTTTCAGCTCTCCTTAAATAGAGAACCCTTTATTTTAGCTAAAAAATATTTTAGCTAAAACCGTGGCCGCCAAAATATTTTTCTCACCTTGCCTTACATGTGTTGAAATTTTCACAAATTTTTCATAACTTCGCCTGTTCTTGTTCGTAAGTCCGGCCAAGCCTTTACGGTCATCGGCCCCTGTAACTTTGGCTTATAAATACAGGCGTTTAGTCACACTTGTAAAACTCCCTGAAGAAGTCTACGACAGTTAGACGAAACGCGTAGGAAAATACAAGAAGTTTTACAACTACTGTTCGCAGAAGTGCTGCTCACTAGTCTATAATTAAAAAATTGTTAAAGTCTTTTTTGATCAGCATAATCTACTAAGTGTCCACCAATATGGTTTTAGAACGGGATTATCATGCACATCTCAACTGATTCACCTGTTCCATACCTGGGCCTCAGCGTTAGACAATGGAAAAACAACTGACATTGTGTTTTTAGACTTTGCGAAGGCTTTTGATTCGGTACCTCATAACCGTCTTATTCATAGAGTCAGTCAATATGGTATACAAGGACAAATTCTGAATTGGCTGTGTGACTTGCTTTCAAATAGACGCCAGCGGGTCGTTATTTACGGTTCCACCTCCAGCTGGGCTACAGTACTTTCAGGGGTTCCTCAAGGGAGTATTCTTGAGCCTTTTTTGTTCTTTCTCTACGTAAATGAAATTCCAGAATGCATTCCTTGTTCTAGTGATATGTTTGCAGATGATACTTTGCTCCACAACTCAGCAACCGTCAATGAAGTCTCAATTCCAATTCAAGCTGGTTTAATTTGTCTGTCCAACTGGCGTAAACAGTGGCTTTTAAAGGTGTGTGAAGCTAAATGTAAGTGCATGAGAATAACAAGATCTAAGGTTAATGGAGAGTGTTCGTATTCCATCAACTCTTTACCCTTGGAACAAGTAGTCACCCACAAGCATCTGGGTGTAACAATCTCATCTAATCTATCTTGGAAATATCATGTCCTTACAATAGCTGCTAAAGCTAACAGGATCTTGGTTCTACTAAAACGCACATTTGGTAGGAGCTCTGAAGCAATAATAACTGGATACAAAACAATGGTTCGTCCTATCATCCAATACGCATGTCCCGTTTGGAATCCACATCAAGCCCACCTGTCAGACAAACTTGAAAGAATCGAAAGAAATGTCTCACGCTGGATCCTTGGTGGACCTATTGATTCTACCGAACGTCTACAATACCTTGGCTGGATGGAAGTTAAGTCCCGTAGGGAATATCTATCGATGATTCGACTATTCAAGTTTATCAATGGTTTCTCGAGAGTTAAGCTTGATAACTATTTATTGTTCTCTCGTGCTAGCACTAGCTCAAGAAATAGTAGGAAGATTTGGAAACCTTTTTCAAGAAGTAATATTTTAAAATTCTCTTTCTGGCATAGATATATAGATAAATAGAACTCGTAACCAGATTCTCTAATATCTGCCGATTCATTTTCAAAATTTAAAAAGGGCTTAAGAGAACACTTTTTAACTAGTGTGTGATCAATATAAAATTGTTGCGATTGCATATTTAATTATATGATTAGATGATTTTAACTCCATTCTGATAGATACATTTTAATGATATTTTTTTACATTTCTCCTTACAAATACTTTTTATCCGATTTATAGTTCCTTCATAGCATTGCAGATATTTTTTGGGGTCATCTTACAAGAGGATTCAGTTCCTCTCTGATGGCAGCTTTTTGTATTGATTATTACAATAAAGTTGTTATAAATAAATAAATAAAACTGGACGCACTGCGAGCGAGTGTCACATCATAATCAAAAGGTTCCGCTCTCTGCAGTCGCTACCCTGAAAAGGAGATTTGACGTTCAACCCTTGAAACCTTGCTTTTATTTAATGTTTCTTCTAACGCATTAATTCCTGAAAGTGACAAGCATGTAATTTCTTCTTACAATATCGCGCCTAAATCAAACAATAAAGTCACGAGAATAAAGGAAATGATGGCTAGAAGTTAAACAAATTCTCCTCGGCGCACCTTAAGAAATGTATGGAGAACAGTATGGAGCCGATATGCATAATGATGTTAAAGTGTTAAGAATTGAGATTCATAATGAGAGCCTGGATTGAAAGGACTGTTCAGATGTTGTCCTTAGTTCCATTTGTCCCTTCCTTTCGCTCAGTTTCGTGTAGTGAGTGCAGCTGAGTTAGTGCAACGTCCTTTTGATCTAAGTCCATTCCTTTGTTAATAATTTCTTTGATAATTGCGATTCGATTCTCGTCTGATAGGGGGTGAAGTTAGTTTCACCACTTCTCTTTTCTAGCGACAGCGAAAAGGAGAAGCGCCGAAAACTCGTGAAATAATTATTAGGAAACCGTGACGGTAGCTCTGATTGAAGATAAAGTAGGCGAAAAAGTTCAAGGCGCCATTACTATGTACTAAATACTGAGTTACAAAGCGAAAGTTCTTAGAAGGACAAACTGAACCTTCGGGACTGAAGTGTTCAATTGATAAATACACTACAAACGGTGACATTGAAACGAAAAATACCACCACAATAGCTAAAGACATCTTGAGTACATTGCGATTTCTCTTTTCGCGGCGGCTAAAGTGAACCGCTAAATTTCGCACCCCAGGAAGTGTTTGCTTCCTCAGCTTTTGTACTATTAAACCATAGAAAGTTGTTACCAGGAGCAGCGGTATCACATAATTTAATGTTATCAGCACTAAGAGGACGATTTTTGTAACATCTCTTGACCAACCCAGATAACAGGATGTTTTACCGTCGCTAAGAGTGCCAATCTGGAATCCGTAGAGATAGGGGGCGTGAATAACTATTGATATTGACCAGATGAGTAAAATAACGTATTTCACTCTAGGTTTGATTCGCAGAGCTTTTAGTGGGAACCAAACAGCGTAGAAACGGTCCACAGCGATTGCTACCAAGGTCTGAACGGAAACAAGCGTAGAGATGTCTTGAAAGAATGCCGTCAGTTTGCAAAGGGCTTCTCCGAATGCGCCATCGATAAGCCATCGGTGATTTCCGAAGATTATCTCGACGTTAGCCCGAGGCACGGCGAATATTGGAACAAGTAGGTCGGAAATGGCCATATTTACGATTAGCAAGTTTGTAGTGGTTTTCATTTTGTCGTCTCGATAAACTACCATGATGATCAAAGTGTTTCCGATAAGTGACACTACAAGAAGCAAGCAGTAGGCAAACGTCTTGCAGACTTTAGCTGCCACAGGATCCTCTGTTGAAATGCAGGATGTCAAGTCATTCCCTCCAGTAGTGTTACTTACATTCATTCCGAATACTGCTGTAGAGCTTTCACCAAATAATTGAGTGATGTGGCAACTTTGATATCTATTTAATGAAAACCACAACTGAATTAGGGTCGCAGAGTGTTAAAAGCAAACGACAGAGTGTTCAAATTTTAAAGTATTTTGATTCAACTTTACTCTGTGGGGCTGCACGAAATGTGAATTTAAGAGATGTCACTAAAAATCAGAGAAATTCACAAATCACCGGCAACAGTTAAAAAATCAAATTGGCTCATATTCTAGTATTAGGTAGGCCTATAGGTAAAAAAAAAAAAAAAAACATATATAGTTTGTTGAAAAATTATTTTGTCTACTATAATGGATAATCTGTAAAGTTGCTGGCAGTCTTCACTTAGTATTTACCCCTCGCGTCCATCCAAGACCAAGTCTTAAGCGATGAAGAGGGCATATTGTCTATCTATCAACATCATTGGGTCGTTGGAAAACGACTGCTGTACTCAATATCAAATCATTCTCGCAGAACACACCAGTGAACGAAAAATGAGCCAAATTCCCTGCTATTTCCTTGTCACACGACAGCAAAGGTACAATTTGCCTATCCCATTTTTAATCTTTTAGATTTAAGCCACAATCATCCATAACAAGAGATTCAAATGAACAATAAATTTCCATACTTGAAAAAATTTCAACTCGGTTGTTTACTTTTGCGTACCAAGTTTTATCAGATGAAAGTAACCAGGACGTTACGTTTTATTGCTAATTGCCTATAAGTAGTAATAAGTTAAAAAAATATGAACTTCTATCTGAACACAAAACCTATCATCGTACTTTTGGATTTCATATAAAAAATTTCCTGCAACTTTTCGATTTAAGAAATTTCAAACCACTTGCATAAAAGGAATACAGATCGAACAATTGCGTGACACATAAGTCACGCAGTGACAACCAGCGGAGAAAACAAAAACAACTTCTATCGTATTGCAAGTACTTTGAATACGTTATTTATATCATTCAAACATTCATTATTACCACTGAAGCTCACAAACTGTAAATGAATAATAAAGTCGGTCTTTACTTTTATGTTGTCGACTTCGCCAACGAGCCAAATTTCTATGAATTTAAAGCCCTCGTATGCAAAGCAGCATAAAAACCCCAGAAAAGCAACTCTACAAACGGTAAGTTTACCATTTCTTCTTCTTATATTTCAAATATTAAGTTTATTTCACTTAGCGCATATAAAATAATTTTTTAAGCTACCCAACTTTTCACTCAGCACTTAAGAGAAGCCGCCAGAAGATTTCGACATTCGAAAATCAGTGACGAAAAATTGAATTTTTCTTCATTTTGCCAAAACATCCCTTTCTTTTCTAGTTTCGAAAAAAATATTTTAAAGTTCCAGCGATTTTTGTTCCGGCTGAAATTTTAAAAAGTTTGAAAACTCGTTAAAAAGGCCGTTTTCGCCTTGCCTAAATGGTCAAATCGTCACGCAGCTTTAGGAAGATGTTGGCAGCGCTAAGCAAGTCTACTCACCATCAAACTTTGCACAATAATTACAATATCCCTGCACAATGAAATAATATAAAAATTTTTCTGTAGTTCTCTTTGGTATGATTTTTACCGCCGTTTTTATAGAGGCGTACTTTGCACGATGTTTTGGGAGAAAAAATAAAGACTAACTTTGACCGGTTTAAACGACACCTGGTACCAAAAATTTCGACATTATAACCATACCAGACGAAAGCTCATTTATCAAAATATACACCTGGAAAATTTGGCCGTTGGAAATTAAGTCTTGT